ATAGAATTATACAGCACAGAAGGAGGCCATTCAGCTCACCGTGTCTGTCCCAGCTCTTTGAAAAGAGCTATCCAAATCAATCCTACTCCCTCGCGCTCTCCCATAGTCCTGCAAACTTGTCCTCCCCAAATAATTATCTACTTCTCTCTTAAAAGTTGTTATCGAATCCGCTTCCACCGCCCTTTCAGGCAATGCATTCCAGATCCGAACAGTAACGTCCCACAAGCAGCCGTGAATCGCTACGTGAAAAAAAATTCTCCTCACCTCCCCTCTGTTTCTTTTAACAACTATTTTAAATCAGTGCCCTCAGGTTACTGACCCACCCGCCAGTGGAAATAGTTTCTCCTTGTTCACCCTATCGAATCCCCTCATAATTTTGAAAACTTCTATTAAGTCTCCTCTTAACCATCTCTGCTCCAAGGAGAATAATCCTAGCTTCACTAGCCTCTCCTGATAACTGAAGTCCCTCATTCCTGGTACCATCCTGGTAAATCTCCTTTGCACTCTCCCCAATGCCTTGACATCCTTCCTAAAGTGTGGTGCCCAGAACTGAACACAGTACTCCAGCTGAGGCTGAACCATTGTTTTATAAAGGTTCATCAAGGCTCTGGACAGTCAGGGATCCGTACCAGAGTTGATGGGGAGGGATAAGAAGGTGACCAAAGGCACGGTCAAAAAGGAAGGTCTTGAAGGAGGCAAGGGAGGGAGCGAGGCGGAGGGACTGTGGAATGGAGTTCCAGAGGGTGGGAGCAGAGAGGCTGAAGGGAATGACACTCACACACAACTGGGGTAACGTCTCAACATCCTTCACAGAGATGGTGGCGAGCTTTGAATGGGGGACAGACTTTTGAAGGCAAGCAATATTCTTCTGATTTTCTAGGCTATACCTTAAAAAGGCTATACCTTGTTGTCTAGTATCAGAATATCATGATTTGATCGGCACTCATTGCTGCTTGTATACTGTAAACAAAGGTGCGCCCATATGCGTCCAGTGTGGTCATATTGCCATTACCCCCAGATGATTGAGCCTGGAAGATCTAAGCTTGAGGAGAAACATTGTAATAACCGCATATTTGCATAACTGACCATGGATCTAGTTTACAGTTATCTTTTGAGACTTGGGCACTCAACACCTGGCAACAGCGACAGACTCTTTGCTCCAGGAATTTTTTTTCCAGACCCTTTTTAGAAGATATTTTAAATTCCACTTATGGACGGTGGCTTGAAGGGGTATGAAGTTAGAGAAGAGCAATGCGATTTAAAGCACAGCTTGCTCTGAGATGCAGAAGCAATGGCTTCCTTCTGCACTGTAAATTTCTAGAATAGGGACGCAAAGACATAAGAGATTTAGGAGAAGTAGTTCATAAAAGAATGAGTAAACTATAAAAATAATACTTGTATTTGATACACCCTTATCGTGTCTTCAAGATGTCTCAAAGCGCTTCACAAAATACACTGTAAAGTGAATTGACCATATTTTGTGGGCAAAACGCGGCTGCCAATTGTGCACAGCAGTGTCCCACAAATAGTCGTGGATTGAGTGACTAAGTTATTATAGATTTTTTTTAAGGGATTATTACCCACGGAAAGCGATCTACCAATTGACTAACAACAACATTACATTTGTATAACGCTTTTCACGCAGGGAGGACGTTCCAAGGCACTGACTGGACAGTATGCAGCATTTCAGACAACCGGGATAGTGGGAAGAAGAGATTCAATTGAGGAATTTAAGATTATAATGGGTGGGGAAAATTTGGATTCAGATCAGATGAATCATCAGACCTCCTCAAAATAAAAGATACAAAAGTGAATAAGAAATGCAAAAGATTGTTTTCTATAAAGTAACAGGACACAAGATATGTGGAATAATGTACCAGTATAGGGGTAGCTGACTAAGGAACAACAAAGGGTTTAAAAAAGGAAGTAGACAGGTTCCTGAGAACTGAAAGGTTTGAGGGATATTAGAATTAGGTATGTGAAACAAATTATCTCCACCAGGGCTGGAAAGAGTCTGAAAAAGGAACTAGACATGTTCCCGTCATTGAGAAGGATACAGAGCTTTGAATTTAGAGATAAATACATCAAAGGGAATAACAAGCTGGGTGTATGGTTAGCTTCTACCTGAAACTGTTACTAAATGTAAATATGAAGAACCAACCTTCTAAGTGCACTGGGGATGTAAGCTTGTTGCTCCACTTCTGCCTGACATTGCATAATGAGACATCTTCCAATTTACTGCAACTATTCACCCACAAAATATTTACTTCAATTTACTTTACAGTATATTCTGTGTTTTGAGAAGTGTCAATGACATAAAGTGCTCTATCAAATGCAAGGATTATTATTATTCAGTTTGGTATGGACATGTTTTAGATTGGTGATGGGTCTCCATGGGCCAGACACCCAGCTGAATAAAAAAATCCACATATTGGTTAAACAATAAGTCAATTACTTTGCAAGACTGGGATGAGAGCAGTATTAAAATGCTAACCAAGTCTCGCTTAGATGAAGAATATAAGTTCAAATAAATATTTAACATGTGCAAATGATTTGCAAACTTTGGATTCCATTTGGAAAAGCCATCAATCAACAGCAATTTAAAAATGCATATGACAGTTCATTTCTTTGAGCTCTTAAGTACATCAATAGTCAATGGCATAGAAATGTAACTTTGCATTTCACTGGAACATTAGTTAATTAACAACTGTCCCCGAAGGATTGGGTAATTTTGAAATCCTGAATGTGTAATAACTAAAGCAAGTTCAATAAATGGCAATTTAGTGTAGTTATACAAACTTACTTCCTCCCCTCCCCCACATGTGTATTTTTATCCTGTTTGCTTCTTTTCTATCTCTGTCTCTCTCCCTAAGTTGGTGTCTCAGGAGATTTTACTCACAGAGCTCTAACTTGGGTCACAGAAAATGCAGTCTTGCAATACATTACTATGCATATCTGTCTGTGTGTGTATGCGTTGCTCCATCCTCACAAAGAAACACTGGCACCATCAACAGAACCTGAAACTGTGTGCTTTCTGATGAGGCTTCTTAGTGAGTGTCCCAGCTTACAGTATAATGTACAACATCAATGAGGCGTCAATCCATGACTGTTTATGGGGCGCTGCTGTGCGCAATGGTCTGCTGCGTTTCATCCACAAATTAGTCAATTCATTTTACAGTATATTCTGTGAAACACTTTGAGACGGCTCAATGAAGTGATAATGCACGGATTATTATTATTACTATTAAGGCAGGTTTTGAAGGCATGGAGGGAGGGGTGAAGATGGGAACCTACAAGACAGAAGTTATAATAAAAAAATTAAAATCCTTGCATTTGGTATAGCGGCATCAGGATGCCCCAAAGCACTTCTTGGGATATACTGTAAAGTACAACAACTTGTGGGTGAATATAGGAAGTGAAATTTTTAGCAGCCTTAAAATGCATCAAACTTCCACTTTCAGGTGGGAAAACAGAACGCTATGGGTTCTTGGAGACTGCATGCTTTTAATCAGTCTCTTCACGTATTTCGTAGTTAAGAAACAGGAATTAGAATATTTACACACTAACTCGAATGATGTGCTGAGACCTTCTTCCAGATATTTGCTATTTGAGCTCAGAGTTTTGCAGCAAATCCAGTATGTACAAAACAACAACTTTATATATGCATTTACACGGCAGCCTTCAAGTATATATTCTTGCAGTGCGTTACAATGACAGGGTTGGACGGTGAGCGAGGGAAGGGGAAAGGGAGAGGTGACCACAAGCACGGTCGAGGAAACATATTTTACAGTGGAACTTTAAGAGAGATAAAGACGGAGGACATGAGGCAGGGGAGAGGGGTATATCTAGCAAGGGAGTCCTGGAGGTTAGGGGGCATAGAATCTAAAACCATGGCCATTCAGCAAGTCTGAGGTAGCCTAACGGAGGGGGAGGGTAGTGGAGTGGGGAATGAGGAGATCAGAGAAACAGGGAAATAAAACTTTAGACAGCATTTCCTAGTAATCAATAAACCAACTGAGCTCTCATAACTACTGAAAGTTATCACAATCAGTTCCAGGCAGTTCCAGGCACTGGCAAGCTACGACTGGCACGAACACGGAAGGAACCGTAGCATGAAAACTGCTGTACAACTATAGATGTTACATTTCGGCAACAGGACACTTGTCTGGTTGAAAGAACTGGAGTGTCCCCGTCGCCTACTATGGCAAAAGGTAACTGAGACAGCAGGTTCCAGGCACAGTTTCTACTTTGCTTGTGGTTCAGGGTTGACCTTGGAACCAACTCTATTTCTGCTGGACCACGGCTCCGTGGAGTTAGAGTGTGTCCTCACAACAATGACAACCATCACGTCGTCACCAAACCCAGCTGCCAACCTGGAGGTCCTGCACATTGGTTAGTCCTCTCCCCAAAACCACTGGCGAAGCTCAAAAAACAACTGGAGAGGTCCCGGGCAATCAGGAAATCTCACGTGTCTTAAGATAAACTTAGGGAGAAGGAAGAAAGGCCCACCACATTCTACACGTTACAACCTTCCCAACCCTTCCTAGCACTTGAAATAATTAGCAGCTTGCGGTCAGTAAGTCTCAGACAGGTACAGCTGAAAACAAGAGTGAAACCTCAATGGTTTTTACAGGATTGTCCAACTGGCAGCCCGCAGGCTGATTTCATTTGCCCCCACCCCACTCCCTTCATTTCATCTGACCCCCCATTCCCTCCAGTTCATCTGGCCCCCCCATTCCCTACATAAACCGTACACGTTATGTTAATAGAAGGGAGACACAAAAATATTACTTATGTGGCCCGAAGATGTTTCTCAAACAGAGCATCCGGCCTTCAGCAAATAGAAGGTTGGACCAAACTTTTAAGACACCAAATAAACCACACCATGGATGTTTGTGTTGTCATTCACTGGCAATCAATAAATGTACCTGTACTTTGCACAGATTTGATAATACATTCTTTATACATTTATCAGTAATAGATTTTTTCAAAAGCTCTACCTTTTCCAAAGCTTCTCGGTCAGTAATATCTTGCACTGCCAATAGTTTGATGCTGGAAAAGAAACAGAAGGTACATCAGTGAACGCCCACCATTTCTGCAACCACATACACACATACACACGTGCACACACTTTGCAGCAAGCTGAACAAAGAGCAGTCAGACACTACAAATTATACCTGGAAAGGAGGACCATTGGGAAAATTTTAAATGATTTTTTTTAAACAAACAGATACTGGAATGATACTCACAGTGGTACAAATGTCAAGGCTATATTGGGTAACGTAGGGTAACAAAGTGCTGGTGGCTCAAACAATTGTTTATCTATTACATTTCTGACCAAATTCTTTCTTTCTGTTTTCACTTGACTCCAACAAAGGCTTATAAGGACTATTTCACGCTTCATGACTTCATGGTAAATTTAGATGCCACGTGTGTCATGAAGAATACAGGATATATTCCACTTTCTTACGCTGCTCTATAAGTACAGGTGACTTGGCTAATTGCTCCCCATCCCTCAGCGGATTGAGTTCAAGATATGTGTTCTCACCTTAAATCCTTCCACGGTCGCTCCGTGCCTACCTCTATAACCTCCTCAAACCAGCTTGCTTGATGTCCCCACTCTACCCGCCCCACCAAGAAGTCCTTTTAGCTCATTTGATAACTTCCCAGAATACACGCCCTACTGTTTCCCAATTGCAGGATTAAGCAGCTCTTTAAAATGGGTCCAGTTTCCTGGCATTCCTGCTAATCTTCTTTCAATTCAATCATCTCTGTATAAAGAAATATTGGACACTTTGGCAACAACAACAACAACAAAATTACATTTATATAGCGCCTTTCACGTCGGGAGGACGTCCCAAGGCGTTGGCCTACAGTGATGCTCATTGATTGGCATACTGTGTAAAGAGTGAAAACACTGCAAAAGCACCATCAAATCATCTGCCTAACTTACACGTTTATTCATGGGTTTATAGGGAAGTGATTTCTACAACTAGTGCAAACCGTGGAATAAAACAGAAATGGCCTGGCATTGACTTCAAGCTTTTCTGTCAGTATCTGAAAGAGGTTATTTCACTCCGAATTCTTCATCAGAACTTAATGTTTCTGATGAAAGGAACGGCATGAAACATTAACCTGTTTTCACTCTTCAGTGCTGGCTGACCTGCTGTGGATTTTGAGTATTCTAAGCTTTGGTGCAAAGTACGGATCAATCAAATAAAAAAAACTGAAACCACAATCATAACAGGAAATGATTTCATAACTTGAAAATTAAAGATATTAAGAGAGGCTCTAATTTTCTCCTTCTGCGACAAAACAATCCACCGATGCGGGCCACCAACCTCATTAGCTACAGTTACTATGAGCCCAGAGAGTTAACAAGACCAATGAACCATGGGGAGCCTCAACACCGTGCATATCCCAGCAAAAGATTGTGATCTGGAGCAGAAAAGCAAGCTGCTCCTTATTTTCCCCGTCCTCAGCCCAGAGGCAGGAGAAATTTAACCTGCATCACCCCAACTTAGCAACGACCGGGCACACACCAAAGATCAGCACTTTCAGATGGTTTAATTTTACTCCGTGTTCCTCTTTGCTCAAGTGCTGGAGCACTAATAATGGATCCCAGAAGATAATCACATTTATTTAGCTTTGCAGAGCCAGCTGGCAGGGCTGACATTCATTACTGGCTCCTTTTGCACACAGTTGACTCAAGCAATTTTGAGCCAGTCTTAAATATTTATTTAATTCAATTTGGTGAATGCATAAACTAATGCAAACTCCGCTCTGGCAATTGAACCTGTGCTGTTTGTTTTTGCAGAAGATACGTCAGTGTATCAAGTGGAGGTACGATTTATTTCAATTTAACATCTTGGAACTAGATGTTGGTTCTGGCGACCAGAGCAAAACAAATAGGGGAAAATGTTTACAGTTACTGCATTTTCCACAAACTGCTGCTAAGTAATTTTGAAAATCTTATTTAATATTAATAATCCTTGCATTAAAGCAATGTTTTAATAGCTAAAGGACATATGTAGTACATCAGATTATGTCTGGTGCCTTCATCGAAAGGAGCTTTGTATCTGAAGCCTCTTTTTTGAAGTCCCTTATGGCTTTGACAAAGGAGCACCATTGTAACCTTAAGTGTCTACTACCTTGAGAATTCCTCCTGAAGTGAAAGGCACTACGTAAATGCAATTTGTTGTTGTTGTTTCACTCTGGTTTCTGTAGCCTGTAACATTATGTTTTCCCCACTACCTTGACACAAAGCTGCTTCTCCTTCATACAACTCATTCTCAAAATGCTTTATGGTCACCTTAGGCTCTGTAATTGCACCTCATTTTCCAGAGACTTCTATCCCATTAATAATGAAATAACGTTGTTACTTTGCTCCTGAAGTAGCTAAACCTTTTGCAGAAAGTCTCACTGCACAGTTATATTTCACAAGGTTGTCACAGAGATGTCATCCTTCCTAGAGCGCACTGGCATTAAGCAGACATACACTTTGTTACAGCTTTCAGCGGTCTCTCAGTGCAATCAGCATAGTTAACTTGGCAGAGGATTATGTTTATAAAGTATGGAAAAAAATATGCTCAATTGACTTGTTGGGATTTTCTTGTTCTAACAAACCATGTACAATCGGCGGCAACAAGGACATATTCCAATTCATTCTTCAAGACGTTTAGGCAAACAGTGATCACATATCCTAACATTGCAAGTCTAAAATGTATTACAGTGGGCAGGAATGAGGTTAGAAATCCCACTGACAAGCACAAATTGTGCTCCGCAAGTAGATTGAATCTGAATGAAGTGCACCATACTTCCATTTACTGGAAGGAGGCCCTGTTTATAATAATAATAATCCTTGTATTTGATATAGTGCCTTATCCCGTCTTCTAGACATCTCAAAGCGTTTCACAGAATATACTGTGAAGTGAATTGACTATGTTTTGTGGGTAAAATGCGGCAGCCAATTGCGAACAGCAGTGTCCCACAAGCAGTTGTGGATTTAGTGACCAAATTATTATTATTATTATTTTTGAAGGGATTATAATCCCTGGAAAAGCAATCCGCCAAACACTTAACAAACCAGTTCCTACTTACTGCTAGGTAAACAGAGCCGTGTGAAGCAAGGAAACTTACCCAACGTTTCACTCACCCCAGGAATCAAACCCAGGTCCTCTTGCTTGCAAGGTGACTGCTCTAACCACTAAGCTACAGTACTGTTTGAATGTAATTTGTTATTGTTGTTGCACTCCGTAACATTATATTTTTTCCATCGCCTTGAGACAAAGCTGTTTCTCCTTCATAAAACCCATTCTGAAAATGCATTTATGGTCGTTCAAAATCACACATTTTAAACCCCATATTCCCAGAAAAACAGAACTGTGCCAATTTTGTACTTGTTTCATTGAGGATTGAAGAGTGCATCTCATCTCATCAGGGACCTTGTGGGCGCAGAATGCTTTGAACATGATAATGTTTCGAATGGGTTTAAGTTCCCCTCTAACATAGAATACAGGATAACATACACGACCAAGGCAAGTGAGTTTGTACAAAAATATAACTGCACAGCAGGAATAAAATTAACAGAAAAAAACTTAAGTTAACTGAAGAGAATATTATCTGTGGTGCAGATTATAGAAGAACTGAAACAATCTCAATTCATCAGTAACTTTTAACTCAGTTGCAATTTTCCAAGAAAGGCAAGTTGTATTCTTAGGATTATTTTCCTCACCTGGTATCCAAAGGAACAAGAAAAATAAAACTTAGGATCATACAAGTAAGAGTCACTTCCCTCCACTCCCGCTGTTTTGTCAAAATCTAACGTAGCGCTCTGGTCAGATTTCAAGTAGACAACAGTTTAGTTAGCTCTGAGAAGATTTCAAGTTCAGCAACATACAGAGAAAATTATCGAGCCATCAGTTTCACCATACAAGGAAGAAGAATTTTGCTTTGAGTCTATCAAAAAATACCAGAAAATTTAATTAGTTTCTCTACACATCAGTTCCAAAATGGTAAAGGATAGTGGTGGAGCTGAGCATAGATTCTCTTAGATCCTCTGCTTAGGTTCTCAATTAATTGGGGGTGGGGGTGGGGAGGGTGAAAGAAAAAGGACCTAAAGTCAGTGAATCACCTCCCCGTCAAAGGGTAAATTCAAGCATATTGCAGAACCTTAGAAGTAAGATTACCGAATAAAAAAAGACATGAGGATAAAGTGGACATGGCATGCATATATTATGCAAATAAAACACAGTCTACATCTATGGGTATGGAAAACAAAGTTTTAAAGTTTGCAGGTGACACAAAACTTGGAAACGTAGTAAACAGTGAAGAGAATACTGCAGGAGGACATATACAGTAATAAAATGGGCAGAAACATGGCAGATGGAATTTAATGAAGAGAAGTGTGAAGTGATGCATTTTTGGAGGAGGAATGAAGAGAGGCAATATAAATAATCATAATATAATAATATTGGATTAATGGAACAATTTTAAAGTGGGTGCAGGAGCAGGGAGACCTGGGGGTCCACATACACAAATGTTTGAAGATGGCAGGACAAGGCGACAAAGTTGTTAGAAAAACATATGGTATCATTGGCTTTGTAATGAGAGGCATACAGTGTAAAAGCAAGTTATATAAAAGGAAGTTATGTTAAACCTTTACAAATCGCTGGTTAGGTCTCAGCTGGAGTATTGTGTCAAATTCTGGGCACCACACTATAGGAAGTATGTTAGGAGCCTGGAGAGAGTGCAGAGAAGATTTACCAGAATTATGTCAGGGATGACGTACTATAATTATGTGGAGAGACTAGAGAGGCTCGGATTATTCTCCTCACAGCAGAGAATGTTGAGGGGACATTTAATAGAGGTGTTGAAAATTATGTGGGGTTTTGATAGAGTAGATAGGGAGAAACTGTTTCCTTTGACGGGTGGGTTGGTAACCAGAGGACACAGATTTAAGATAATTGGTAAAAGAACCAGAGGGGAGACATGGAGATTTATTTTTACCCAGAGAGTTGTTACGGTTTGGAATGCACTGCCTGAAACGGTGG